AGCATCCGGGCGGAGAGCTCTGGGTTCGTTAAGGCACATGCTATTGATGACTTCACTATTGTTTGGGACTGCTAGACAATGATGGATGGGGTTGGTTTCTTGGGACCTGTGATGATATGGAAATGATAATATCTAGTGATAGTTGGTAATGATTTATAGATAATGGGGCATTTAAGTATTTAGCACCTGAATGTAATGAAGATGATAATTATGATTGAAATTGGGTTCCGTATGTACTGCTAAACTTTTATGACGGTGCTCCGAATTAAACCTGGCACACACAAGGCAGGAAAAGACGTCGTCGGGTGAATTTTCTAGGATCACATGTACCGTCTACCAAAGACAATAGTTTCTTGTAAGGAACTTTCGCCAAACTCGGCCGTAGACCGAGTGATAATGTGAGTGTTGCAGAATGTAATCAATTTTGTCTCGTGCCCAGCCGAATATGTTTTTCCCAAACTGGAATTACCTCGTGAATGCCTCGGTGAATTGGGTGATATCCATGGGAGCGAGACAATAATAAATTCATTGTCTCGTGCTCAGCAGAACGATTTTTGTTGGCGGTGGTAAATTGTAATTCTGCACCAGTTGTCATTCGGGTTTGTTCATGTAGGTGAGGCCTCCTGGCGTCTGATTGCTCTTCTTCTGCTGCTCTTCTCTTTCTCTTCCTATACATTTGAGTTGAAAATTGAACACGATCATGCCTTCATCTCCAACATTTTTTCCCCACGGTGGATCAGGAGATATCATTAATCTATGTGCTGACGAACGATGTACGATCAGATTAAAGAATGAGTGGGCTGGGCATGAGACAAATCAACTCAACCACAACTATTCTGTTTAAGGTAGCACATCTGCACCGGTAATGGTTATTAGGGTTTGACATTGTGATGGATACTATGTTTTGGTGTCTCATGTTGTTCCGCTTGCTCTCATAGTCTCACACCACCTCTTCTTGGACAGACTCTTCCGCTCATCTCCAACAAATTCTACCCGTTCCACCATCACAGATACGATCGATGTTTGAACAGGTATTTCGCTTTTTGCAAACCATTCCTCAGAGATATCAACCAAGCAAAACCAACAACATGTATATACAAAACGCCCACACCATTATATATCAACCTCCTTGCCCTCCAACCACTCCTTCGCCTGCCAATAAAGCTTATCGTGCTCTTTACCCGTCACCGAATCGCCCTCATTCCGATGCCCAGGCATATCCAACTTCACCTTCGCGCCCATCGTCAGCTCCTGGCAGTACGCAAGGTACCGGTACCCCTTCGGGAATCCGGCAAGCTTCTCATCATCCAGCGCCGGCACCTTGCGCGGGTCGACGGGGATCAGCTTGTCCTTCTCGTACCAGTGGCGCACATACACGGCGCCCCACTTGCCATCCCGCTTCTCGAAGAAGAAGCAGAAGCGGCAGTCGCTCTCAGCGTCCACCTCCGCGCCGTCGATCACGAAGCGCTGCGTGATCGTCGCCTTCATCTTCGTCACCGCGCGCGCGGCGTCGGGCGTGATGTCCGTCGTCGTGCCGTGGATGCGGTGCATGATGAACGCGCCGGCATCCATCCCCCGCTGCGACGCGGCGATGAAGTCCGCGATCGGCGTGCGGCCGGTCCAGGTTGTGTACACGAATGCGTCCGGGTAGTGGAAGATCGACTTGAAGTTCTCCCATTCGCAGGCGTCGCTGGGGCCGTGTCAGCGCGGTGTGGGGCGGGGGGAGGGGGGGGGACAGACCGGTAGCACGGCCAGCCCTCGGCGAGCTCGCGGATCTTGTACCGCTCCAGCGCGAGCGCATCGGGCCCGTTGTTCCTGACCGCCGCGTCGGGCCGCGACCCCGCGGGGAGGCTGTGGTTGTCGGGCATATTTGTTGCGAGCGAAGCGAGCGGTGCGTGTGGTGCGGGTGGTGCGGGTGGTGGTGCGAGGGAGCTGAGGATCTTGGACAGTCGTGCTTTTGCTGAGGACATGCAATTGTGTTCGTGGTGGTGGTGGTGGTGATGGCGGGTGCTGGCTTTTTGAACCGACGGTGCGGGTGCGGGTGTGAGGTTGCGGACGTGGGTGTCGGATCCGAAGGCGCCCCGCCGGGTGAGGGTTTAGCCGGTGGTGGAAGAGGTGGGTGAAGATATAGCCGGCGTGAGGTGTGGGGTAGGGGGCGTGGGTAGGGTGGGTATGGGTGGGTATGGGTAGTATGTAGGCACGTAGGGAGGTAGGGGGGTGAGAGATGGGGGGGGTGGAGGGGCGCTAAGTGCCGCTGCCGCGGTTGCGGGTGCGGGTGGGCCGAGGAGGGGCACTGTGCTCCGGTTTGTTGGAGGCATGGGGTGTCACTCGGTTACGACTCACAGGAGGATGGCACTGTGCAGAGAGGAGGTGAGTAGTGTGTTGGTCCAATATGTGTCGATTTATTCGTGCTTGGGGGTTAGGCTGATTAAACCACTGCTGGGTGAAGAGGGTGAAGCTACTTGATAGACTGAATTGCGGGTAGTAAACAAACCAGCTGTAGAATTAAAGCCTAAAGGTGTTTGTTATCGACGAGCCAGTAGCTCACGCACCAAGTACAGTGTAGTCCACGGAGCACATTGGCTTAAAACTGGACCAGTGCGGAGCGATAGCTCACGAGCGTGCCTGCATGTTTTCTGTAGAGATTTCGGACCAAACATCAATATCACAGCAACGACTCTTAAATCATGATCCACGGCCCTATTCCCAGTCCAAATCTCACATATACATACATTACTCCTCCCTCTCCTCCAGCCCCAACTCCTTCACACACATCCTCCAACTCTCCATCCCCCGCCTCGCATGCTCCGCCGGCACGCCAGGCGCGGGGTCATTCATGCTCCGACTAAACAGCTCCATACTAACCCACCCGCGGTACCCCCACTCCCCAATCCACGCCCGCAGCATGTCCAAACACGGCAAATACCCCTCTCCCGGGAAAAGCCTCGCATTCCGCGACCACACCATCTCCGCCCTCATCCCCTTATCCCCCCACCACTCGTGCCCCGGCGCCAGCGGCGGCTCCAATCGCTCGGCGTCCGCGAGCTGCACGTAGTACACCTTCTCCAGCGGCACGGTCGCCACGAACTCGTCGAGATCGGCCCGCAGCACCTCGGCGGCATTGGGGCGGATGCCGCTGCGCGAAGTGCAGTCGCCCCAGATCGTCGCGAGCGTCTGGAACGTGTCGAGACACATCCCGAAGTTCGCCCGGTCCACCGCGGACACGATCTCCCACGCGCGCTGCCAGCTCGAGACGTGCGCGCCCCACGCCATGAACTCGTACGCGAACCTTACGGGCGGGGTCTGCGCCGCGCCGAGGTCCGCGACTTCTCGCAGGTCCGCGACGAGCTTCTCGGTGTCCCCCGTCGCCACGGCGGGGGAGAGGTGGAACATACTCGGGATCTGGATCGTGTCCACGCGCAGCACGCGCGCGATCTTGAACCAGTGGTGGAGTTTCTGGATCTTCTCGGCGTGCCGCTGCGGGGAGAGCAGGCCGTCGTAGTTCTTGAACGGCTGCAGCACGATGATGGTTAGGCCGTGCTGGTCGCAGAGGGCGCGCATGTGCGCCGCGGACAGGAGGAGGTTGTCCGCGAAGGAGGAGGCGGTGGAGGTCATGGCGCGTGCCGGCAGCTTGAGGTCTTCGTAGAACACCTCGATCCCCGTGAACCCGGCGGCGGCGGCGGCGGCGAGCTTGGACTCCAGGGTGTGGTGCGCGGCGCGGCCGAGCGACATGGAGGCGATGGCGAGGGGGAACTTGGTGAGTAGCTTTTCGGGCATGGTGGCGGTTGTGGGTGATGATGGGGAGGGAGATGGGGGTGGGAGTGGTGGGAGGTATTGGGAGGGAGGAGGGGTGGAGATGCCCGGCGTGGTGGTTGGGCGGTTATACGGGCGCCGGGAGAAGTCTTAGCCGGGGGTAAACACTCTCCCTACCCCGCACCGGCCGGCACCCCACACGGGCCGTTACTCTAGCGGCCCAGGGACACTGCGTATATAACATTCCCTCCCGGCCTCGCCGCCATCAGCCCATTCCCCCAATTCCCCCAATCCTGACACCTCTACCCACTATACCCTACACCTTCCACCGCCGCCATGCCCGCCCCCGCCATCCTGCTCATAAACGGCCCCAACGTGAACCTCCTCGGCACGCGCGAACCGCACATCTACGGCGCCACCACGCTCCCGGACATCGTGTCCACCTGCACCGCCCTCGCCACCGCCGCCAGTCTCACCCTGCACTCCTTCCACTCCAACCACGAAGGCGCCATAATCGACCGCTTACACGACGCGCGCGCCGAGAACGTCGGCTGGGTCGTGATAAACCCCGGCGGGCTCACGCACACCAGCGTGGCGCTGCGGGATGCGCTGCTGGCGGTCGGGGTGCAGTTCGTCGAGTGCCATGTGACGAATGTGCATGCGCGCGAAGAGTTCAGGCACAAGAGCTTTTTGAGCGATAAGGCGGTCGCGGTGGTGGCGGGGCTGGGCGCGTATGGGTATGAGGCGGCGATGGGGTTTGTGATACGGAAGATTGGGGAGGCGGAGGAGAAGAAGAAGGCGGAGGCGGCTGCGTAGGGGTGCTCGATGGAAGGGTGGGGAACGGAGGAAATGTATCATGTATATAGCGATTTTGGGAGCTTGTTTTGCGGGAATTGAAATTACGTACGGTCAAAGACTGCCAGTGAAAAGCTTGCGTGTCTATCGTGGGAAGTGACAGCTGACTATAGATATGATGCTAGGAAATCGGAAGGTGTCAGGACTGATCAGGACTCGGTGAGACCGACATTTGCATTTGTCTCAGCTACAGCAGCCGCCGCGCACGTTAGCTGTTTTGCTAGCACTGAGCGTATCAATCACTCCGGTACCCAAGTTCCTCGACCGAGTCGGCCGAGTAGATGTAGCTATGAGATACACCACCCATTCCTCGACTAAACACCACCCAACACCCATCACTCTTTCCCGTGCACCGCTTCTTGGGCGCCGTAAGGCAGGGCGGATATCAACAAGCCGGGATGGCCGAGTGGTCTAAGGCGGTGCACTTAAGTGTCTCAGACATGCACTATCGAAAGATGCGTGAGTTCGAACCTCACTTCCGGCAATATCTTTTGCCCTTTTGCCGGGCGGCGGGTATGGTCGGTGCGTCAGATTTTAGGGATGTGGGTGGGTGTGGGTGGGAAGTACGGCATGTGACGGGGGTGGGTAGAGTGTTGGTATATTCGACACAATATTATGGGTGTGATTGTTTTGGGCAGTGAGAAAGGCTATCATGGCTTATTGGTAGCTGTTTTGATCATATTTACAGGGAGCTTGAAATCACAATCACCCTTCGAAGACCGCCTGCCACAATCTCTACAAGACAAGGCCCATTACACATCACAAGTGACCACATAAAACATTATATTCCATTCCACCCCCCAAACTTCTAATTAATCATAGGATTCGCATCCGCCGCCTCCCGCAGCGTCCTCCAAACCTCCTCCTGCATCTCCTCCCCCCTCACCTTCTCCCCCGCCTCCGGTCCAACCCACAGTTCATACTGCCGCCCCACCTGCCACCCCACAACCTCAATCCCCTCCACCGCCGTCCACCCCTTCGCCTCCCGTTCCCGCAGCGCCCTCCAAAACCGCGTCTTCCGCGGGTTAAAGCACATCTCCAGCGCCACACCCCCCCCGCCCGGCGCCGGCGCGTCCAGGAACCACCGCACCAGCGCCGCGACCGCCTTCTCCTCGTCCGACACCGGCTCAAAGTCCGGGACCGTGCCGACGACGTAGTACGGCAGCGTCTCCGCGGGGATCGCGGCGGCCTGGGCGAGCGCGGTGACGTGCACCAGCTCCGGCGCATCGGCCCCGTAGGCGCGTTGCGCGTCGGCGCGGAGCGCGGCCACTTCGCTGGCGTCGCGGTTGAGGACGTAGATGGTGGGTGTTTTCAGGTGGGCGTGCAGCGCGTAGACGGCGGCGCGCGCGGCGCCGCCGGCGCCGATCAGCAGCGCCGGGCGGCCGTGCACCGCGGGGCGCGGGGCGGTGAGGCAGCCGAGGATGCCGAGCCAGTCGGTGTTGGAGCCGATGAGCTGGCCGGAGGGGGAGCGGTAGACGTTGTTGCAGGAGCCGAGGGTGGTGCAGATTGGGTCGAGCGCGTCGAGGTGTGGGAGGATGGATTGTTTGTATGGCATTGTGATGACGGCGCCGGCGCAGGCGGGGGAGCGGAGGTGGGTGAGGAGGGCGGGGAGGGTGGGGATGTCGAGGAGGTGGAAGGTCCATGGGAGAGAGAGGCGCTGCGCGATGAGGTTGTGCACGTTGGGCGCGATGGAGTGGGTTACGTGTATGCCGGCGAGGTAGTAGACTTTTTCGCCTGGCGGGGGGGCGGGGACGGGGCAGTCGGGGGCGGCGGGGGAGGCGGTGGGGTTTGACATGTTGAGGTTGCTTTGACGGTGCAGGAGTTCGTTGCTGGATGGTTCGTGATGGTGATTGCAGATATATCCACGCTGCGATCCCCGCAATCGCGGTGGATAAACGTTTAGCCGCCCCCAGAACCCCACCATGCGCTCCACAGCCCGGCAGATGTCTTAGCCAGCGCACCCGCACAGCTGCCGGTGCCAACATCCGACATGGCTCCACGATGCAAAACACCGCAGTCGTTCGATATGGGCCAATGTTTGGGCGGTGGTTAAGAACGCGAAATCGACAGCGCCTTTCCGCCGTTTCTCATCTCCACCATCATCATCGCCATCAACGTCTTCCTCGGCATTTCCCTGACTAGTTCCGTTCACTTCACGTACACCTTTGCCAGCCCCCGCCATGACTGTCACAAACGGACACGCCGCCGCCCCCAGCGATGTTATATCCCGGAACTACGCAGCCGGCACACCCACGCACATCCTCTCGCTGACGTTCCCCGACCTGTCCGCGGTATCCGCTGCAGACCTGACAACGCTCACCTACGGCATCGACGCGTGGGAGCTGCGCGCCGACGTGCTGGCCCAGCAGACGCCGGAATTCGTCGCAGCGCAGATTGCAGTCCTGAGAGAGACTGCAGCGGAACTGCCGATCCTGTTTACGGCCCCGGGTGCCGATGCGCGGGACCTGGTGCAGGCGGCGCTGGACGCCGGCGTGGAGTATATCGATGCTCCTGTGGTAGGGCTGAAGACGGGTGCGGCTAAGGTTGTGGCGAGCTTCCATGACGAGAGTGGCGCGCTGCGGTGGAGCAGTGCCGAGGCGGAGGAGAAGTTCGAGACGTTAGCGGCGCTTGGAGGTGGGTGATAGTTTCGGTGGTGGTGTTGTAGGCTGACGAGTGATGTGTAGATATTGTCAAGATCACCAAGCGCACCACCAGCCCGGCCGACAACCACGAGCTTGCCCTCTTCGCGGCCGCCCACACATCGAAGCCCTTCATCGGCCTCAACACCGGCGCCGCCGGCCAGCTCTCTCGCATCCTCTCGCCCATCACCTACATCACCCACCCCCTCCTCCCGCCCTCGCCCCTCCTCTCTCTCGCGCAGACCAACACCGCCCGCCACCTGCACGGCACCCTCCCCAAGCGCCAATTCTACATCTTCGGCAACAACATCTCGCACTCGCTCTCGCCGGTGCTGCACAACACGGGCTTCGCGCACCTGGGGCTGCCGCACCACTACCGCATCCACGAGACCGTCGCCGTCGACGACGCCGTGGTCGCGCTCATGACGCAGCCGAACTTCGGCGGCGCCTCCGTCACGTTCCCGCACAAGCTGCAGATCCCCAAACACCTGTCTGCCATCTCTCCCGAAGCCACGCTGATCGGCGCCGTCAACACCGTCGTCGTCGGCCCCGACGGCACGCTGCGCGGGGACAACACCGACTGGCTCGGCATCCGCTCGTGCATCGAGGCGGGCTGGCCCTCCGGCGGCCCCGTCGATGCTGCAGCTGCGGTCGTCATCGGCGCCGGCGGTGCCTCCCGCGCTGCGTGCTACGCGGCCCAGATGCTCGGCGTGAAGACTCTCTACCTCGTCAACCGCACGCTGTCGAAGGCCGAAGACCTAGCGCGCGACTTCCCCGCGCTGGACTTCCGCATCTTTGGTTCGCTGGCGGCTTTGCGCGATGCCGGCGCACTGGAGCCGGTCCCGCGGATTATCGTTGGCTGCATCCCCGCTGATGATCTCACGGAGGCAGATATCCCGGCGAACCTGTTTGATGGGGCGACAGACGGCGGTGTGTTGATTGAGATGGCGTACAGGCCCATGGTGACGGCGCTGATGAAGGTGGCCGGGAGACATGCCGGCTGGTATACGGCCAGGGGCACAGATGTGTTGAAGGAGCAGGCGTACCATCAGTTTCGCATGTGGACGGGGAGAAGAGCGCCAGCGGCAGTGATGGCACGGGCAATGGAGGAGGCCGCGAAGAGCCACTAACGTGAGAGGCGGCCAGGGAAAGGGAGGAGGAGGAGAGAAGACATAGTTTTTCCGTGTGCGTGTTTTGGTTTGTCGAATGTAGACACATGTAAATGTATTTTTGTTCCATTTGATACAAAATTATACCATTTTTCCATTGAGAGGGACCTAAGCAGCGGCTACCGGAGGTAGGATTTCTTCGCCCACCAATCAGAACATGCATGGGCGCTGTGGGGATTGCGTCAGCCATCTTGCAGTCTGGGGTGCCGCCTGCAGTCTAAGATTCTTTAGGAGATGTCTTGTGGGTGGTTTGCATGCCAGGACGTCAACAGGGCCGCCGGACTCTCCACCAACCGCCAAAGCTGTCTTCCCTACTGCAACCTCCCGCCATCTAATACCGCATCCATCTATCAAAGCAGTAAGCCCTTCGGCATCCAGACGGCATCTCCCCCCCAACGACGCCAGTGCTAGAAGCGGCGTAGCCGACCGACCCCGCACCCCAGACGGAAAAAAGTTTATGCACCGACGCTGGTTGGTGGGGCTTTTTAGTCATGCCGCGCCTGGCCACAACCACGATACGAGCGTGATATATAGTGTCTGTCTTTCTGCGGTCTCAACATCTTTTCACAAACTCCATCTGCCACTAGACACCCATCGACTTCTATACCCAAGCACAAGACGCAATGGTGGCCCCAACTGACATTCTCTCCGACTCGTACACGCACGGCACCTCGTTGCTGGAGTCTGATCCGTCGCTGATCAAGAATGCGCACAAGACCCATCTCTTCGGCCACCCCATCTCACACTCCCTCGCGCCGCTGCTGCAGAACACGCTGTTCAAGGACAATGGCATCCCATGGAGCTACAACCTCCTCGAGTCGTTAGACACAGAGCTCTTCCTCTCGCTCCTCAAGTCCCCCGAGTGCGTCGGCAGTGCCGTGACGATGCCGCACAAAGTCACGTTCATGTCGCAGGTCGACGCCATCACCGAGGAGGGACGCATCATCGACAGCATCAACACGGTGTTCATCCGCCTGGACGCTGCGGGCAAGCGCCGCTACATCGGGACGAACACGGATTGCATTGGGGTGCGCGAGAGTTTCCTGCAAAAGTTCCCCGGCATCCTCAACGAGAGCGACGGCAAGCCTGCGCTCGTCATTGGAGGCGGCGGCGCATGCCGCAGCGCCGTTTACGCCTGCTGGAAATGGCTCGGTGCGCCGAAAATCTACCTCGTCAACCGCGACGCGGGCGAGATCGAGGTGATGGTGGCCGCGTTCATCAAGAATGGCTTCAAGGGGGAACTCATTCACGTCGACAGCGTGGAGCAGGCGCAGGCGCTCGAGACACCTGTGGTCGTTGTTGGGACCGTGCCCGATTTCCCACCCAAGGAGGAGGGCGAGATCCGGGCCCGCAAGATCGTTGAGGAGTTTTTGGGACGCGAGAAGAAGGGGTACATGCTTGAGATGTGCTACCACCCCAAGCCTGTGACGGAGTTGTACGTGATTGCCGAGCGCCAGGGCTGGCAGATGATTGATGGCACCGAGCCAATGATTCACCAGGGAATTGCGCAGCAGATGCTGTGGGCGGAACGACCGCTGGAGAAATTTGAAGTTGAGAATGCAAAGAAGACGGTATATGAGGAGTTGAAGAGACGGTGGACGTAGCTAGAGCCCTGGTGGCTGTGAGGTTGTTTCAGTTCAGAATTGTGTATATCTATCAAGCGTTTTTGTTTTTTG